GATCCCAGTATTGTGCCCTCCTGATCCCAGTACTGTGCCCTCCTGATCCCAGTATTGTGCCCTCCTGATCCCCGTATTGTGCCCTCCTGATCCCAGTACTGTGCCCTCCTGATCCCAGTATTGTGCCCTCCTGATCCCAGTATTGTGCCCTCCTGATCCCAGTACTGTGCCCTCCTGATCCCAGTGTTGGTGATGACCGTGCCTGTGTAACGTGTCTTAAACGGACACTTGTAGTCTCCATGGGACACCCGTGTGACAACAGGGAAGCACAATCGGAAGACGGGGACAGGGCATTGTCACAGGAGCAGGAAGTGACTGAACAGGGACCTCCGTGGCGGGATCAGCAGGAATTATTATTACGATTGGAAATGCCTCTTGTAATGCCATTAAAGTGGTACAATGTATCTGAGATTTTAGTGGTCGGGTTTTCATGTCATTTTAAAAAATAAAACCCTTTTGGTACAGTCATCACTTTATCCTGCAATTTATATACAATTGTTAGAATTTCGATTTACCGGCGCGAATCCCAGAGTAGAGTCGCTGCGGGGATCACGAATCCCAGAGTAGAGTCGCTGCGGGGATCACGAATCCCAGAGTAGAGTCGCTGCAGAGATCACGAATCTCAGAGTACTGTCGCATCAGGGATCAGGAATCCCAGAGTAGGGTCACTGCGGGCATCACGAATCCCAGAGTATGGTTGCTGCGGGGATCACGAATCCCAGAGTAGAGTCCCTGCGGGGATCACGAATCCCAGAGTAGAGTCGCTGCGGGGATCACGAATCTCAGAGTACTGTCGCGTCGGGGATCAGGAATCCCAGAGTAGGGTCACTGCGGGCATCACGAATCCCAGAGTAGGGTCACTGCGGGCATCACGAATCCCAGAGTATGGTTGCTGCGGGGATCACGAATCCCAGAGTAGGGTTGCTGCGGCGATCGCGAATCCCAGAGCAGGGTCGCTGCAGGGATCGCGAATCCCAGAGTGGCGTCGCTGCGGGGATCACGAATCCCAGAGTACTGTCGCGTCGGGGATCAGGAATCCCAGAGTAGAGTCCATGCGGGGATCACGAATCCCAGAGTAGGGTCGCTGCGGGCATCACGAACCCCAGAGTAGGGTCGCTGCGGGCATCACGAATCCCAGAGTATGGTCACTGCGGGGATCGCGAATCCCAGAGTAGGGTCACTGTGGGGATCACGAATCCCAGAATAGAGTCGCTGCGGGGATCATGAATCCCAGAGTAGAGTCGCTGCAGGGATCACGAATCTCAGAGTACTGTCGCATCGGGGATCAGGAATCCCAGAGTAGAGTCCCTGCGGGGATCACGAATCCCAGAGTAGAGTCGCTGCGGGGATCACGAATCTCAGAGTACTGTCGCGTCGGGGATCAGGAATCCCAGAGTAGGGTCACTGCGGGGATCACGAATCCCAGAGTAGGGTCACTGCGGGGATCACGAATCCCAGAGTAGGGTCACTGCGGGCATCACGAATCCCAGAGTATGGTTGCTGCGGGGATCACGAATCCCAGAGTAGGGTTGCTGCGGCGATCGCGAATCCCAGAGCAGGGTCGCTGCGGGGATCGCGAATCCCAGAGTGGCGTCGCTGTGGGGATCACGAATCCCAGAGTACTGTCGCGTCGGGGATCAGGAATCCCAGAGTAGAGTCCCTGCGGGGATCACGAATCCCAGAGTAGAGTTGCTGCGGGGATCACGAATCCCAGAGTGGCGTCGCTGTGGGGATCACGAATCCCAGAGTACTGTCGCGTCGGGGATCAGGAATCCCAGAGTAGAGTCCCTGCGGGGATCACGAATCCCAGAGTAGGGTCGCTGCGGGCATCACGAACCCCAGAGTATGGTCACTGCGGGGGTCGCGAATCCCAGAGTAGGGTCACTGTGGGGATCACAAATCCCAGAGTAGAGTTGCTGCGGGGATCACGAATCCCAGAGTAGGGTCGCTGCGGGCATCACGAATCCCAGAGTATGGTCGCTGCGGGGATCGCGAATCCCAGAGTAGGGTCACTGTGGGGATCGCGAATCCCAGAGTATGGTTGCTGTGGGGATCGCGAATCCCAGAGTATGGTTGCTGCGGGGATCGCGAATCCCAGAGTAGAGTTGCTGCGGGGATCACGAATCCCAGAGTAGGATCGCTGCGGGGATCACCACTCAGATCGGCATCCTTTTCCATGACATCACTCTCCGTATCTTACGCATGGACGTAGAATTGCCGTCCTCTTGGCTCGGTCGCAAATCGAAGACAAGTAAGAGTGATCGGTGCCAGAAACTGCCATACAAGGGTGGAAATTCGACCGATTTTTGTCTGAAAATCGGACCTAAGAATAATTGGTCGATTTTCGCTCTGTTAGTGGGGTCAATGGCACCGGCTGATTTTCGTGGTTCCTCCCCTTTTCGGTGATCGGGCAAGTTGGGAAATGCATGAAAAACTAACGATTTTCGACTTAATGCTGGTCAATTTGTACGATCGTTTTGCCGAAAAGAATCTGCGCCATGAGCCGCGACCCGGAAGGAACAGAAGATTCGCCTGTTATATGGGGGGAACTTTATGACTCGGTCAGCCGATTTTCAAAATCATTGATGGCGCCATCGGACTACCGAGCGAATGACTATTCCTCCCTCGATGGGGCACTATTCCCCCCACTGACACCAATGATGGGGCACTATTCCTTCCACTGACACCAATGATGGGGCACTATTCCTCCCACTGACACCAATGATGGGACACTATTCCTCCCACTGACACCAATGATGGGGCACTATTCCTCCCACTGACACCAATGATGGGACACTATTCCTCCCACTGACACCAATGATGGGGCACTATTCCTCCCACTGACACCAAAGATGGGGTACTATTCCCCCCACTGACACCAATGATGGGGCACTATTCCTCCCACTGACACCAATGATGGGGCACTATTCCTCCCACTGACACCAATGATGAGGTACTATTCCTATCACTGACACCAATGATGGGGCACTATTCCTCCCACTGACACCAACGATGAGGTACTATTCCTATCACTGACACCAATGATGGGGCACTATTCCTCCCACTGACACCAATGATGGGGCACTATTCCTCCCACTGACACCAATGATGGGGCACTATTCCTCCCACTGACACCAATGATAGGGCACTATTCCTCCCACTGACACCAATGATGGGGCACTATTCCTCCCACTGACACCAATGATGGGGCACTATTCCTCCCACTGACACCAATGATGGGGCACTATTCCTCCCACTGACACCAATGATGGGGCACTATTCCTCTCACTGACACCAATGATGGGGCACTATTCCTCCCACTGACACCAATGATGTAGCACAGTTCCTCCCACCGACACCAATGATGGGGCACTATTCCTCCCACTGACACCAATGATGGGGCACTATTCCTCCCACTGACACCAATGATGGGGCACTATTCCTCCCACTGACACCAATGATGGGGCACTATTCCTCCCACTGACACCAATGATGGGGCACTATTCCTCCCACTGACACCAATGATGGGGCACTATTCCTCCCACTGACACCAATGATGGGGCACTATTCCTCCCACTGACACCAATGATGGGGCACTATTCCTCCCACTGACACCAATGATGGGACACTATTCCTCCCACTGACACCAATGATGGGGCACTATTCCTCCCACTGATACCAATCATTTCCCCTGGCAGAAAAAAAAATAGAAAATAATGCTCCTAGGGCAATGCGGAAAGTAGAAGGCGCAGTACACAACGGACTCACCATTATCTCACATTTGTTTTTTTCTCTTTGCTGTTCTTTCCAGAATGAATTGTAGAAGTTACATTGTCAAGGTCACCGGAACAGAAGCAGGCAACCCGTGCTGAAAGTCGATGTCCAGTTTTTTCGTCATTAACTGAACTGAGTCATAACTTTATCGTCAAACACAGACTTGAGCAAATATCCTTCAACTTCCTTGTTGGTTTATTTAACAGCAAACCAAACTTTGAAGGAATCGATTTTATTTTCTAGTTAACAGTTTGATCGTTCCCCGATTCCTGCCACCAGCCACAAGGCAGGAGGAGGATTTACCACCCTTTTTTTTACATTAATGCACTATATTGCCCCAAGTATTGGGCCACCGGCCTTTCCACACACATGACCTTTAATGACCTCCCAGTCTTAGTCCGTAGGGTTCAATATTGAGTTGGCCCCGCCCTTTCCACGCACATGACCTTTAATGACCTCCCAGTCTTAGTCCGTAGGGTTCAATATTGAGTTGGCCCCGCCCTTTCCACACACATGACCTTTAATGGCCCCCCAGTCTTAGTCCGTAGGGTTCAATATTGAGTTGGCCCCGCCCTTTGCACCTATAACAGCTTCAACTCTTCTGGGAAGGCCGTCCACAAGGTTTAGGAGGGTGTCTATGGAAAGGTTGGACCATTCTTCCAGAAGCACATTTGTCAGGTCAGGCACTGATGTCGGGGGAGGAGGCCTGGCTCACAGTCTCTGCTCTAATTCATCCCAAAGGTGTTCTATGGGGTTGAGGTCAGGACTCTGTGCAGGCCAGTCAAGTTCCTCCACCCCAAACTGGCTCTTCCATGTCTTTATGGACCTTGCTTTGTGCACTGAGGGACGGTCATGTTGGAACAGGAAGGGGCCATCCCCAAACTCTTCCCACAAAGTTGGGAGCATGAAATTGTTCAAAATGTTGCCTTAATTGTTCCCTTCACTGGAACTAGGGGGCCAAGCCCAACCCCTGAGAAACACCCCGACACCATAATCCCCCCTCCACCAAACTTTACACTTGGCACAAAGCAGTCAGGCAAGTACCGTTCTCCTGGCAACCGCCAAACCCAGACACGTCCATCAGCTTGCCAGACAGAGATGGGTGATTGGTCACTCCAGAGAACACGTCTCCAAGGCTCTAGAGTCCAGTGGCGGCGTGCTTTACACCACGGCATCCGACGCTCTGCATTGCACTTGGTGATGGAAGGCTTGGATGCAGCTGCTCGGCCATGGAAACCCATTCCATGAAGCTCTCTATGCACTGTTGTTGGGCTCATCTGAAGGCCACACCAAGTTTGGAGGTCTTTAGCTATTGACTCTGTAGACAGTTGGTGACTTCTGCGCACTGTGCGCTTCAGCATGCGCTGACCCCGCCCCTGTCATGTGACGTGGCCTACCACTTGGTGGCTGAGTGGCTGTTGTTCCCAGTTGCTTTCACTTTGTTATAATCCCACTAACAGTTGAGCGTGGAATATTTAGTAGCCAGGAAATGTCACGGATGGACTTATTGCCCAGGTGGCCACCTATCACGGGACCACGCTTGGAGTCACTGAGCTCCTGAGAGCGACCCATTCTTTCACCAATGTTTGTAGAAGCCGTCTGCATGCCTAGGGGCTTGATTGTATACACCTGTGTCCATGGAGGGGATTGGAACACCTGAATCACATGATATGGAGGGGATTGGAACACCTGAATCACATGATATGGAGGGGATTGGAACACCTGAATCACATGATTTGGAGGGGATTGGAACACCTGAATCACATGATTGGGAGGGGATTGGAGCACCTGAATCACATGATTTGAAGGGCGGGGACAATACTTTTGGCAACATAGTGTGGCATCGTGTTTGACGTTGGATCTACTTCGGGGGACATTTTTTCAAATTTTTAGTTTTAATAACGGACTTGTCAAAGACCATCTTGTGTCATTTTTACACTACAATTTTTTTTTGTGAATGGGTAGCGGTACCATGTAATCCATACTCATTCACATGGGGAGGAGGGGGGAGCTGGGAGTTCCTTGACTCCCCCTGTACTGTGACCTCCTGATCCCAGTATTGTTCCCTCCTGATCCCAGTATTGTGCCCTCCTGATCCCAGTATTGTGCCCTCCGGATCCCAGTATTGTTCCCTCCTGATCCCCGTACTGTGCCCTCCTGATCCCAGTATTGTGCCCTCCTGACTCTCCCCCATACTGTGCCCTCCTAACTCCCCCTGTACTGTGCCCTCCTGATCCCAGTATTGTGCCCTCCTGATCCCCGTATTGTGCCCTCCTGATCCCTGTATTGTTCCCTCCTGATCCCCGTATTGTGCCCTCCTGATCCCCGTATTGTGCCCTCCTGATCCCAGTATTGTGCCCTCCTGATCCCAGTACTGTGCCCTCCTGACCCCAGTACTGTGCCCTCCTGATCCCAGTAGTGTGCCCTCCTGATCACAGTACTGTGCCCTCCTGATCCCTGTATTGTGCCCTCCTGATCCCCGTATTGTGCCCTTCTGACTCCCTCTGTACTGTGCCCTCCTGATCCCAGTATTGTGCCCTCCTGATCCCAGCATTGTGCCCTCCTGATCCCAGTACTGTGCCCTCCTGATCCCAGTATTGTGCCCTCCTGATCCCAGTATTGTGCCCTCCTGACCCCAGTACTGTGCCCTCCTGATCCCAGTATTGTGCCCTCCTGATCCCAGTATTGTGCCCTCCTGATCACAGTACTGTGCCCTCCTGATCCCCGTATTGTGCCCTTCTGACTCCCTCTGTACTGTGCCCTCCTGATCCCAGTATTGTCCCCTCCTGATCCCAGTATTGTCCCCTCCTGATCCCAGTATTGTGCCCTCCTGATCCCTGTATTGTGCCCTCCTGACTGCCCCTGTATTGTGCCCTCCTGACTCCCCCTGTATTGTGCCCTCCTGATCCCAGTATTGTGCCCTCCTGATCCCCGTATTGTGCCCTCCTGATCCCCGTATTGTGCCCTCCTGATCCCCGTATTGTGCCCTCCTGATCCCCGTATTGTGCCCTCCTGACTCCCCCTGTACTGTGCCCTCCTGATCCCAGTATTGTGCCCTCCTGACTCCCCCTGTACTGTGCCCTCCTGATCCCAGTATTGTGCCCTCCTGATCCCAGTATTGTGCCCTCCTGATCCCAGTATTGTGCCCTCCTGATCCCAGTATTGTGCCCTCCTGACTCCCCCTGTACTGTGCCCTCCTGATCCCAGTATTGTGCCCTCCTGATCCCAGTACTGTGCCCTCCTGATCCCAGTACTGTGCCCTCCTGATCCCAGTACTGTGCCCTCCTGATCCCAGTACTGTGCCCTCCTGATCCCAGTAGTGTGCCCTCCTGATCCCAGTATTGTGCCCTCCTGACTGCCCCTGTACTGTGCCCTTTGTGTTGATTTATGTTTTCTTTTTGTGTAAAATCCATTTTAATGAAAGTACTAATAAATATATGTTCAATTCTACCAACTATTTATACTTTACGTAAATTGGGGCAGGCTGGTAGGGGCCCCAGTGCATTTCTTTGCCCAGGGGCCCATGATTCTATTAGGACGGCTCTGCCTTTCCATCCTCATACCTATCCTGCCTACATTACCGTTTTGTAGTCTGGTCATGTGACAGCTCCTGTGTCATGGAGCCCTTCGACAATGGCTGGCCATAACATCACCATAGGCTTCCATGGTCCAGCCATTGTTTGCACTTCCTCTTCTCCCCTGCAGCACCCGCTCATTGACAAAGGGGAAAGCTGGAGCTGCAAGATTACATGACCAGACTAAAAAAGGTAAGTACACACATATTTTTTATTACACAGGGTAGGTAGGAGGAGGGGCAAAGGAACATTTTCATGAATAGATAGCGTCGGGCCTGAATTTCACTTGAACTGCCTCGGTATTGGATAATACATAACGGAGTCCCTCTTTAACCCGGAGCTCAGGATTCCTGGTCGTGCTTTGAGAATGAACCTGGACTAAATCACATGGTTGGAACGCTGGTTCCAAGACAGAGCTGGCAGCCCCCGTCCCTTGTCTGGAGGTCTTCATTAAAACATACGTTAACCCTCTTAGATACTGGCCAGGTTACAGCTCTGTAATAGCGTTTCCAATGCCAGTTCACTTTCCTGGTGTGAGATCCAAGTTGGCTGAGGCCAGAACACCCCCTCATGGTCTGCCGTTCCATCAGACAAGCTGACTTGGAGAAGGTTGAAGTCTTGAGTCACTCGGCTGCTGCCTCTGCTCCCGTAATTTGGATGATAATCGGATCAATGTGCTTCGCTCGATGGATTTCTCCTCTCTGCCCCCGGTCTGCAGCGCATTTAAAGGCTCTCTATCCAACATCTTTCCCCAACGATTCCTTCGCTTCGCATTCTGCTCTAGGGTTCTTTCCAATAATACATCTCGTAATTAAGGCCAGTAATTTGAACGATGCCCAAGAATTGTCATTGGAAGGAGATCAACAGAAGGTTGATTACCATTTAAGAAATGGAGATAAAGAAAATGCAGAAAACCTTGAAGGATATTATGCGGCCTACAATACCGGCATTGTTACGCTTTGCCTCGCGATGTCGCCAACCCCGGTTGTGGGGGGGGGGGGGGGGTTAGGGCAATAATTCATTCAGCGCCTTAAAGGTTTTGGATTTACAAGGAGCAGCATTTGGACCCGTTTATCTATTTACTGCACCAACTCAGCGACTTTGCCAAACACGGGAAATTTGTTTTTTTTAAGAGTCTCCTAAAAGTCACGCTTGTGCTACCGGCCATAGAGGAAGGTTCTCATTTTGGGGGCAGGATATCTCAAGTCAAAAACATTTTTTGCTCCATTTTGAATAGAGATTTTTTTCTTGGTGGGTGAGCTCAGGCCAGGGACAGACTGACAATTCATGGGACCCCCGGGCAAGAGGGGATCATGGGGCCCCTGTGTCCTTCCCCAAACTCAAAAAAGCCTATGAAAAAGGTACCAGGGGCATCTCATGGGGCCCCCTACTGACCCCCGGGCCCTCGGGCAGTGCCCGAGTTTCCAAATGGTCAGTCCGCCCCTGGCTCAGACGTATTCAGATCCTAGACTGATAACCGTATGTCAGGAGCGTATTTATCACAAGACAAACAAGGCATTTGCCTAGGGCGGCATTTTTCAGGGGGAAGGAAGGGAAGAGGGGACACACGCAGCATGGGGACTAGGTGGGGCTGCCGGCTGCTTGATGGTGTATGAAGAGCCTGACTCTTGTTCCCGGGGATGTCCGTAGCTGTGAAGGTGAGTGTCTTCTCTCTCTCGCCGAGGGGAGGGGGGTGTCCAATGTATGGGGGGTGGTGGTAGTGGAAGGCTCTCTTGGGTGGGGGCTGAGCTTTTGTTGGTCAATGTCAGGCTCTCTTCATGGGAGAGGGGGGGGTATTGGTTGGTGTCAGGGTCTCTCCATGGGGGGGGGGGCGATTTTTGTATTGCCTAGGGCAGCACAAAACCTAAATAAAACACTACACCACTGGCTATTGCGCGTTTGGCGGGCAATGAATGGATAAGTGGCCAGCTTCTGCTGATAGAAAAGGCCTGGGATTGGACAGTGGAGAAGTGCTAAAACGAGACCTTTCCAATGCAAGATTCCATAACTGGCAGTAAATCCACATGGGGCGGTAATAATTCATGAAAAGGGTCCAGCATAAGATACCACAAGTCCACGAGCTTTCTACTCCATTGGGAACCCCAACTGAGCTCCCCCCTAGTAGTGTACTTAGGTTTTGTGCTGCCCTAGGCAACGCAAAAATCGCCTGCCCAAATGGACACCAACCAACACAACTCCCCCTTCCCCCTCCCACGGAGAGAGAAATGACATTGACCAACAACACCCCAGTATCGCACCTGGGAGAGCCTTCCACTACCCTCCTGGCGATAGAGAGACACTCATCTTCATAGCTCTGGACATCCCCAGGCTCTACATACACCATCAAACAGCCCCCAGCCTCTTTTGGATCCCACCTGGTTCCCATGGTGCACATATCCCTTCTTTCATCCCTTCTTCTAAGGGGAGGTGCTGCCCTAGGCAAGTGCCTTGTTTGCCTTGTGGTACACCCACACCCCTGCCCCCCCCCCCCCTTTCAAGGGGGTGGTACAATGCAACACAGTAAAGCTGTAAGCCTCTGTATATATAAATGACCTGTAGAAGGCAGTAACTTCCTGAAAAGAGCGGGAGAACCTGGCCAGCAGCATTAACCCTTCCTTCTCAGGAACCACCAATTCACAGGTCAACTCAGGGCACAATGTGATAGGCGGACATTGTAATGAATGGCTTCTACACACAAATAACTCAGCAGAAGAAAAACCAGAGCATTTTGGGAGCACCTGCCTATTGACTGGGCTAAGTGTCCTTTCTACCTGTTTTCGATTACCCCGAAATTTTGGTAAAATTTCACTATTATATTTGAAATGTATTGGAGTCAATGGGGCAATATGGACATTTTTTGGAGTCCATAGGACTGGGGATGATGATGATTTTGCCAGTCTGCTGAAGGGTGTATGGGGACAGACTGGGCATTTGGGGTCCATAATTGAATAAAGTTGGGGAACCTCTGAGATACAATATTGACAAGGGTCACACATCATAGGAAAGTGAGCATCCTAGGCATAGTACCCATCATGGAGGTGACCCAGGGTGTGTCAAACAGCATAGAAGTGTTTTATGAAAAAACATTGGCCTTTAGCAAGATGAGATGAGCTGTGGGTTCTGTGGAGGGTCCTGTTCAGGGGTGGTAGGAGGCATCGACTTTCATTCCTTCCACAGGTCCCCCATCATTTGTTAAGCTCATCACAATGGATGAGAGAACCTTTTAACTCACC